GGTTTTCGCTTTTCCCGGCAGCTCGGTTTGCGAACGGATTACAAGTTCCGTTAAAGGGCAATTTCAAAATTTTCCGAAAATAACACGCCCCTGTTCCCAGCGGTTTCTGCCTTTTCCTGGTCGAAGTAGGAGCTAAGGTGTACTTCCAGCCTCTAGTTGTAAGGCTGAGCGTTGCCAAGGGAAGGGGTTCGCAAGTCGTTTCAAAATCAAGCTTCAAGGTTGCCAACGCAGTTTTCTTGAAGGCCACCTGTTCCATCCGTCGGCTGTCTCAACGGCCAAAGATATATCCCGACCCCCACTGTAGATTGGTTTCCTTAGCTCTAACATAGTTTCATAACCGAATTTTCAACCTCATAACCTCATCTCGAACCCCAGCTGTCGTCATTGCAGGAGTACCTGAAGGCCGGTTGGCTGGCCGGTTCGGGCGACGCCGAGCTGCAACCGTGGCAGAGCCTGCTCTCCGGGGCGGTCGCCGGGATGCTCTCGGCAGCGGCCACGACCCCCCTCGACGTGGTCAAAACGCGTCTCATGACGGAGGCTCGGCAGGCGGTTTCGCGCACGGGGGCCACTGGGAAAGTCGCGGAGGCAGTCGCGAAAGCGCAGTTCGTTTCGGCGTTCACGCCGTCGGGAGTCGTGTCGACATTACGACAGATATCAGCGGAAGAAGGGTTTAAGGGTTTGGTGCGGGGCGCGGGGCCGAGGATTGTGTACGGGGGCTGCTTCAGCGCAATGGGGTTCTTGTCGTTTGAGACGGCAAAGCACATTTTGTTGGAGCGGTATTTGCGGAAGAAAGAAAGGGAGGGGCTTGAACGGGGAGAGCAGTCTCTAGGGGACGACTTAGTCGAAACGAGTGGACAACTGCCGTTGGATGCGACGATAGGGGATGCTAGCGCTCCGCGGCAAGATCTGCTCACCCAGGATAGAATAGGGGCTACCAAAGTTGCACCAACTTTGAGCAGGCCACAATTGACCAATTCTGATCAGAGTAGAGACAGAAGTAGTTGACTGGACAACTGTGAATGGACGAGAAAGGCCTTATTGTTTTTGGAGAATAGGTCGAGCGTTTCTTGTGACGTGGGATGCTTTCTTTGCGATACTGGAATGTCTTTTGTGAGGAATGCAATCCTTCTTTTGAAAAGATGGAAATGATAAGGAGCACTTCAAAGGACCGCATTGCTTGAGGTGAACTTGTTTCCTAAGGGGCGCTGGAAAGCCAATGGCTGAACGAAGAGAACGATAGTACCATTTCAAACTTGAAGTGGCCGTTCTATGTCCGTGCCAGCATTATGCAACTATGGCTATTCAATCGTGGTTGCTATGGGCCATGTGTAGTAAAGATAATCCAAAATCTGATAAAAGCTAGGTGAAAGTTTATAATAACCAGAGCATTTGCTTCTAGGAGTCGCAGGCACGTCCAAGTGTGCGATCATATGCATACACATGTACATGCGGATCCTTGTGCCTGACATTTGTGCAAGAATCAATTCTGAAAAGCCATGCTTCGCTTCCGCTTGGCTTCCCGGCCAGTGGTCCGGCTTTGCCACGATCGAATTGTGTGGGGCTACAATTCTACGTCAAGTAAAGCAACTGTAAGCATCATCGAGCAAATACGTTTAATCATCATTGATAGAGACTGAGCCCGACTGATTCCAGATCCAAGTATGCACAACGTGGCAGTCCACATGATCATCATCATCAGTCTAGTTCGGAAAAGCAGGGGCAGTTTTGGCGGGAGTTTGAAATGAAGCAGGCGTCACACCAGATTTGACATCCGAGTCCGATGCGGGGGCCGTGCTGAGTTGGAGAAAATCGAGTCGTCGATTATCTGGCCTGTACGAATTATGGTACTGTAATCGACGCTAAGGCGAGGACGAAAAGAATTTGCGGCCGTCAGATTACGATTCGAATTTGCTAGAATTGGCACTGGCGAAATGGTGCCAAAACTGCATGTCCCCGCCATTTTGTTGCGCTTTTCACTTCAAGTTCAGGTTGGAAGTGCAAAGACCAACAAGTTGGTGAAGCGCTGTGACGACGATCATCAGGAAGGGCGGCGCCTGCTCAAACTGAGCTACTCTGCTGCAATTTGGTTCAGAAAACCCCCGTCCCTTCGTCTTTTGACCGCTCCGCTGCCTGGTGACTGAGTTATCGGATCTTGCACGATGAACTTGTCTGACATAGCAAATAGCGAGTATGCCAGCCCTGGAAGGGACCGGGACGACCTGCCATCGGAAGTGTTGAGTGTTCTTCCTTCTGATCCATTTGAGCAGTTAGACCTCGCCCGCAAGATTGTCGCGGTAGCCTACGAAAAGAGGCTGCAAAGCGAAAATGGGAACCTAAGGTCGGAGCTAAATCAGAGAGAAAGGGAAGTGAAGGATCTCAGGGACAAGGTCAGGGACTTGGAGGGCAGTCTGAAGAACACGAATGAGCGCCTGTCAGTGGCCTTGGAGGAACAGGTCCGTAGTATTCTAAAAGGGTGCCAGCCATCATGTTGTTGTCCAGCTTTTCCTTCATTCTCCTCTTTTTGCACCTCAATCATGCCCTTGACCAAGGCCAATTTCACCCAAGAAATTAGGCCAAGCTCTGGTGTTTAATGGCTTGTCGCAGGAGAGAATCGTGGCGAAGCCATTACCAAGTCAAGTACTCTTACTTCTTGTCTTGGTTTTGACATCGCATGGTCTGGTCAATCGCCTATCAGCAACCGGTTGATCCAGGTGTATTCAGCAATTGGTTGATTGTAGCTTTTGCAGGTTGTGAGAATGACGTTGTACAATTTGCGCTAGTATCATCTCTGAGTTGCTTGATGGCTGAGCTATTGAAAGGCCTCCATGTCCGACGTGGATGCTACAATTGTTTGATTTTGTTTCATTGCACCAATGTGTCGTTTACATTCTGGTGGAACACATCTCCTAGTAAAATTTTGTTCACTCTGCCATTTTGTCCTGACAAGGGTTAATATTTGTAGGACTTGTCCTGAGGTTTCTGAGAGCTTTCGAGGAGGTCCTCGGATTGAGCGGAGCATCCGTATGCTCTCATATATCTTGAGGACCTTCAAACCTTTGCATCCTTTGGCTGACTGAAATGGTCTTTAGTCTTATTCTTAGATCTAATCACGAAGTGTACTATGATAGGTGAAAGGTATCTCCTGCTCTGCCAGAGATTGGCGTTTGATTTCTGGTTCATGCAAAACCAATAAACCCTATATTGATGGGGTGGTGTAGCAGCAGCGGGCCAGGAGCAAGCGCTTTGGAGTTTTGCTTGTTCCACAGGATAGATCTGTTTGCAATCTATTCATCTCTGCATCAGAAAGTTCAAACTCATCACCGTCTTTCCCCCACCACATTGTACAGAATGCACTCACTTCGGAGCGGAATGCTCTGACGGCTACTGTCAAGAAGCTGAACAGGGATGTTGCTAAGGTGAGGGTGGCAGCATCAGAGCAATTCTGAGCAATTGAGTTTTGTTAGGACTGTTTCCACGCATCTTTTACTACAGGGTGGTCTTCTACTAATGCGGTCAACAAAGATTATTGATTGACGCTCTATCTCGAACCTAAGCCCATATAATCCTGGCAAACAGCTATTAGTGCTTGCTTATGATCAGCATTCCCCTGTGTTGGCAGATAATTGCTGCTGAAGCACATACCTGAGTACACTGTCAGCATATATACGTCTGCAAGCGCAAGTTTGTGCCATGTTTGGAGCAGTATGATGATCAACTGTTGCTTGTATCTCCTCACTCGCAGCTTGAAACCTTCAAGAGGGCACTCATGCAGTCGCTGCAAGATGAGCCAGACGAGGGGGTGGCGGTGAGCAGAGAAGGACCTGTTGCTTGATGACGCCAGTGGCGTTCCTCCATGGTTGCCTGCAATTTGTAGAGCTTCCTTATTGCGTCACACGGTTGCACCCCATCGCTGGGAATCTTGCAGAGCACATGTGTGGCTTTCAAAGCGGCCTAAAGATGGGCCTAAAATTTTGTAGTAAACTCCTCGGCTAATCAAGCTTGAAAAAATGCTGGGAAGAAAGATGGCTAAGGTTCTCATGCCTGAGACGATTCGCCTCTGGTCCTTAGCAGGTGGACATCTCAGAGGTTGAATCGTCCACGCAGTCAAGCCGACGGGTGTCAAACAGATCTTCAGGTGAGAGAACTGCTGGAAACTGGCTACTTCTTGCATTTTGCCACCCAATTGCTTGCTGCCCTTAAATATGTGATCGCCTGCGGCCGTTTCCCCCCCTTCGGTATGGTCGGTGGTTGGGACCGCCATACAAAGGTTGCTGCATGATGCCTTTTGACAACAGAGAGCTGCCAGCAAATATCAAGCAGAGCGGAGGGAAGTTTTATCGCTTCTCTGAGCAAGGCACAAAGTGATGTTCCTTATAACAGCACCTGTCTTGCAAACCCACCACTTATCCATTGGCGGCGGATGAGTTAATTTGAGAAGTCGATCCCCTTGTGCAGAGACGACGACACCCTTGTCCAAAAATCGGATCACAGAGTTGGATGACCCCCCCACGACAGTCATCAAGCCTGTGAGAACATCGTCAGCGCGACTGGCAGACCCAGTCTCGCCAGAAGCAAGTAAGTTAAACAGTGAACCAAAGCTTGAGATAGGGCCCAGTATAAAACAGGCCCAGTATAAACCCTGCCGTTGAATGATCGAAGGGGGTCTTTCAAATCTCTAAGTAATCTGGAGTAGCTGGTGCATGTGTAAGGGCCGCCTGGCCAATGACCAAGCCTAAGTTCGAGACTGCTTCAGTAGATCGCAGATTGAGGGAAAGATGCCACTGCAAAGATGCATTGTTATACCCAGAGGGGGCCAGCCAAAGTACCTTACGACGATCCTCAAAAGGAACTCACGGTCATTTGTGGAGTGGGAATGGTTCGATTGATGGTCCTGCTCAGTGCAGTCAGGCGGGTAGACGATGTCTGCTCAAATTGCTGCTGACCATTTCTGGTTAACCATCTTTGTGGATAACACTAACATCCACCTTTCTCGGCAGGTCCTCACCACCTGGGCCGCTCCGGTTCCTCCCTCTCCTACCAAACCCCGACCATGAGCCGCGGTCACCGCTCGGGTTCCGCTAACCCTTCCCCCGCAGGGTCCCCCCGGCGGCGCTCGTCTGGAGCCGATTCCTTCCCCTTCCTGGTTCCCGTAACCCCGTCTCAGAGTCAGCCTGGGTCGGCTGCTAACTCTCCCCCGCACCCGTCAGCTACGCAGCAGCGGGCGGGGCCTCGGGTGGATGGAAAGGATTTTTTCCGGCAGGCTAGGTGAGCAGATTCTCTGGTACAACGTATCTCTCTTTATTCTCTCCGCAAGTTGCACAACGTGATTGCGGACTTTGCATCAGTGCTTTCAAACGCTTTATGGCAGCTACATCATGTCGAAGTTCGGACTTTTTGTACGTGACGCCGCATTGGTGTCTTACGTCGTTTCGAAAAGCAGACGGAGGGGTTTCAAACATTTGTGTGCACGTGGCTGGTAGGAGCCAAAGACTTCCTCGTGTGCTGAACACTGGGACATTCCAATCAATCATCAACTTCTCAGATCGTCTTTTGACACAGCGTGAATGAGAGCACGCAGATTGCCTTCCGTTGGCTGGCCCAATGATTTTTAGCAGGTTGCCTCTTTCTTGATCCGTTAGCAGGTCGTAGTACCGGCCAGCTTCATACTGAAAGTTAAATGTGTGTTTGTTTCCAATCCCCAATTCTTCTCTTACCTCCTTGCTTCGAGCTGAGTAGAGTGAGCAAAAAACTCTCTTTCCGGGTACCTCCGTGATAGCTCTTCGTATTTGTGCCTCATACACACTTGCTTCTCACGCGGGCGCGCTGGGTCGCTGTATCCTTGTGTTCATCTCTGGAAGGTTCATAGCTGCGCTTCGCGTCGTCATAAGGAACTCAAAGAAAGGGAAGTACGATTGCAGCTGTTCTGTCGTGGCGCATCTGAACGACACTGCTTTTCTACCTATGCAGAAACCGGTTGTCATACCAGAGCTTCAGCGCCTTCCTGACGAACATCAAAGAACTGAACGCCCATCGTCAGTCTCGGGAGGTGCGTCTCAGGCCCGTGCTCCCTTTGGTCTTCTGCCATTTCTAACTGACGTGAACCCGAGCGGTTCGAGCGTTTCGTCGTGAAAGCCCCGAGACCTGGCTCTCTGATGATTACTGACAGCTCAGTCGCGAACAGAATACCGAGCGACTTGAATGTGGGACACACACAGAACGGCTTGATTCCGTCTGTTACCAACAGGGACTTTCGTTGTGAGAAGCGGCATGCATTATGATACCTCGACGAGGATTTTTGAACCAGACAGAAGTGTCGTCACTTAGAAAGATGTTCACTTAGAAGGATGCGTCCTGACCCGTTGCTCCTATGTGCAGGAAACTCTGAGCAAAGCCAACGAGATCTTTGGCCCTGAAAACAGGGATCTGTACGACGCATTAGACACCCTCTTGACTCGCCATCTGCCCTCGTAGCTCGCCAGTTTCCGAAAGTGCAGTCCCTTTTGAAAGGTGTTGTCCTATGTCACATGTACAGACTGCCCGCTTGCAGAGCAGTCTGGGGCTGCAAAACCTTGCATTCGGCGTTCGTTAGAAAGCAGAGGATAAGGGAGCCATGATTCCGAGATTTTCACGTTGATATTCTTCTGACAGTTGCTTGTTAACGAATCATTGGCACATGTGCGGCTTAGTATCACCGCTTTTCTCTCGCTTTTCGCATGTTGAAGTTCTGAGTTTATGATGTGTGCTCTGTGCAAAAGAATATCTGTGATATGAATGAATGCCGTTTGCGGTCCAAACATGCACACCTCACATGAAATGCATACCAAATGATAGTATATTGTTCATTGCACTCCGACACAAAAGTGCAGGTTTGACATCGATCATAGGAGCTTCCTGTACGTTATTTTTGGCATCATGAACCGCCCATGTTCATGAATGATCGACTAGCATGGAAGAATTATGGGTTAAAAGCTAGCTCGTTGGAGATCTGTCTGTCCCGGAAGCTGGAACATCTGTTCAAATAATTGATTTCGGCTCGTGACACGCATGCATACCGCAAAGCCGCAGCTGCACAGGCTTAGCATGGATCTTCGACCACAATATCCGCACGTCCTTTCAATGATAGCATGGCACACCGACCGCGACTGCGGCCCAAACCTTCACTTGGACAAATACATACCTACAGCACGTTTCTCAGGCTGGTGAACGGTCGATTGATCTCGTACGGTCACTTAACCTTGTAAAGCCGTACTAAAATGTTTCATAGATACTCCGACCATGCATGTACATGGATGTGCGATTGGGGCAAAGAAAGAAGCTCATTAGCTAGACAGAATCAACGACTTCAAGCAATGAAAACGGGAAGAACAACGTCACGCACTGTACAGACCTGGTCGTAAACTCAAACGCGCTACCTCAAGAGTTCAACTCAGTACAACCTATCAAGCACATAGCCTACGAGTCCTTGAAGCGAGTGCTTACTCGCGCACTCGGGAAGACCTTCTAAGCACTGGAGGGCAAGATCCCCTTCCCGCCTTGCCAGATCCCTCGCCTCGTCGATGCCCCCCCCACTATGAACGAGCGCAATCGCCTCGGCTAGATCACCCTCGTCAACAAACTCGTTACCTATCAACTCCTCCAACCTGGGTACCTTCTTCAAAGCAAACAAAACTGGCGCCGTAAGGTTCCCGCTTGCGAGATCGCTGCCTGCGGGCTTCCCCAGCTGCTCGGAAGTCTGGGTGAAGTCTAAAATGTCGTCTACTACCTGAAAAGCCAGACCCAAATGGCGCCCGTACTCAAACATCTGCTCCTGCATATGTTTGGGCACGTCGCTGAAGATCGCGGCTGACTTGGCGCTGGCCGCGATGAGGGACGCCGTTTTCCAGTAGCTCTTGTTCATGTAGTCCTCGAAGGTGAGGTCGCAGTCGAACAGGCTCGCGGCCTGCTTGATCTCGCCGTTGGCGAAATCGGCGATGACCTATAGAGCAGATGTGCAGGTTTAGGATGCAGATAAAAACATAAGAAGCAAAACGAAGTCGCTGAACCGAGTGAAAGGAACAACATGGAGACCAGGACTTTCAAAAAGAGTCCTCAAACCAGCCTCGAAAACAAACTCAGACACGCAGCTTGAGAAGCAAGGTCTGCAAACCTATGGTTGTGGATCCACACAGGGATTAAGACGGCTTCGTCCCGAACCCTGCTTTCTAGGACTCCGCCTTCAGGTCAGCCGGCCCTCTTTAGGTGGAGAAAAGTGAGACATTCAAAGGTAAGCACGCAGATAAAGACAATCTGCGGAGAAATGACCGACACCTGGAGTGGCCCCTCGGAGTGTCCTTTGAAAAGTGTCCTTTGAACAAGTCCAATCATAAGGCGCTTAACCTCAAAAGCGGGCCTCCAAACCAGTGTGTCGAGCTGCAGGAGCGCAGAAACGGCCAGAAGAATCGGCAAAATGTCTCAAACGGCCTGTAACTTGTAGTAAGGGTTCTGAGGCAGACTAGGGTACGACAGGACAATCCAAAGCGGATTATGACCTCCGACCTTGTCGTACAAAACTAGGGTTCCTAAAGAAAAATAGGATCTGCTGACTGCGGCAGATTCTCCGTAGCGTGCTTTGACTCAATGCCTCCCATGTTATCTCCGTTTCATTGACCCGTTTCTCTTGAACTAAGATGCAATGGTTCGTTTTATGATCGCGAATCTACCAACTACAATTACCCTACTTTTTCCCTTAACGTTCTGATATTATTTTGTAATCAGCTCCATAAAGATTTCGTCATGCGGTCTCTCCTTGGCACAACATGCGGTATCGCGCCAGAAAGTGCCAGAGAAGGGGACGTTGGAAAAACCCATCCTTTGGGGTCTGTACGCTTACCTGACTGATGAGCTTGATGACTTCCAAATTGTCCAGGTTTGCGAGGTACCAAGACGACTGGGCGAACAAAAAGTCACCCGCCAAGACTGCCACCCTTGTTCCCAGCAACTCGTGGACCGTCTCTTTCCCTGCAAAAAGTGGCAGTTGATTGGTCGGTACTTTGCTGTTTCTGGAAATGCCGTCTCCACTTGATGAGAGTTTGATTACAAATTACGTTCAAACAGAAGGCTTCGACTTGGCACCCCTCTCATACCGCCATTCTCTGTGACTATATAGCCTGAGTCGGTTGCAAGCCCTTAAATCTGCGTCTTCTGCATATGGTCTCTTCATCTGGCGCCACAGTCATTTATAAACAACTTAATCTGACATGCGATGTTCTGAGGAGGCAATAGCCCTGGAGGGCCCAACAGTTTCTGGCACCGATCACACCACACGCCTTTACAACAGCTAATCCCATCCACAAAACATTCTCTCCTGAACACAGTAGGTGTTGCATCCGTCGACTGTTCCCACGACCCGTGTCCAGAGGATTTTCAACACCTAAAAGGTGATCACCGCATCCAAAGGAAGCTCAAACTTTAAACCCCACAAGCTCCGAAACCCAGCTCATGGAGCTGGCCCACAACGCGTTTCTCCTGAAATTACTATGATCACAATCGAGCGGGTCCAGCTCCCCACCTATGTGCCCCTTATCAGACTCCAATGCTCTCACCGTTCTACAACACGAATACGGGCAGTACCTACCACCCGTTGCAACCCAGAAGCCTCGCAGCAGGAGCTAAGATAAGAAAATTTCCAGTATCCCCACTCGTGTTCCTTCCTTCCGATTCCGGAGCCTCGTGCTTACCTCGCCGCGTTTTGCTGTTATCCAGAACGTCATCGTGCACCAAGCTCGCGGTGTGGATCATCTCTGTGATCTCTGCTAGCCGTCGGTGCTGAGGACGCAAGTCGCTGCAAAGCAAAGAGGGTCTGATCATTCTCGAGGACGTAATACCTTCTACTGCCTCCCTTCCGGGTGCAGCTACTTTCTGTCCACCTTGCTCTGACCTGCCTCGACAACTTTGCCCCAATGTTGGTAAATGGCCGTGATTAGATGGTCATCTTCTTGAATTCAGTAGCAGAGAAGCAGAGGACTCCCAAGAAGACAACAAACACTGAAGCAATCCACCACACTCATGGCAGCCCGCACCAAGCCTGCACGCGTCTTTCCAACTATAAACTGGATTGCTGAAGGGCCATTTGCTGTGCTTCAATTGTGAATTCGACAGTCCAGTCTCTTCCAGAAAAAAAGTGATTAGACCACTCAAGCGCGAACAACCTACTTAGGCAGTTTGATGGACAGTCCACAATCACTTGTACTTCACTGAATTCTGACACTAATATGAGGAAAGAATCATTCAAACCGCAAAGCCAGGGTGCTCACTCCAATCTGGCCAGCTCAGCGGTCGCCCTCGCAACCAGAAAGACTAGGGCAGGTCGTATCCTCTTCCCGCCCGCCCCGAAAATCTGCTCCGCTGCTTGCATCAGCATTGGGTGCCTGTTCCCTACAACCTGCAGAACAGAGGAGGATGAGATGAGCCCCTCCAATCTCTCCCTTGGGCAACTTAATGACTCAAGAGAAATACCAATCTCTCAGCAATCCCCCACCCCCAAGATACTTCCACCAATTTTTGAACAAATAGAAGCTGCCCAGAGCTTGATAGAGCGGTTGAACTGATCTGACTTTGAGCTGGAACTGTTTGCCCAGTCTGTTGATCTTGTAAGGTGCTTGGACTGAAGCGAGCAGCGGAAAACACCTCTGCTTTCCATCCAGCAGCCTTCAATAACGACTTTCTACGTGTCAAGAACACCAGAAGAAAGGGCTCTCTGCAGCACACACTTCGCCTAAGCCGCTGATAGAAAACCCTAAATCTAGATCCACCGGAAGGGCCAACACTGCGAAGCTGCCTTACTTACTGATGAAAGTCTTGCTCAAGAGAAGGCTAAAGCACTAACCGACTTCAAGTTTTGCTGCATCTGTCTCATGTCCTCAGCCACGGGGGCGGTGATGGATTGCAGCGTGTGCTTGACCGGCTCCGCGCCATTCACTGCCCCGTTGCTAGACTCGCCCGTCCTTACAGCATGCCCGTTCAGGCCCTTGCTGCTGAGATCAGCCTGGCCGTTGCCAACACCTGGGAGCAGAAAGTGCCCTCGTTAGTGCAAAGGTTGGTTGCGTCAGACGACGATCGCCACAAATCTGCCGCAGGGACTTGTAGACAACTTGCTTTCAAAGACGTAGGCCAAGCGGCAAACCCAGTAAGCTGTAGCTTCGAACCCCGATCCTTGTGCAGGTCTTTCTTGAAGATGGTGGTACTGCAACTGCAGCGATGGTGCATCCCCAGCAATAGCAAACATCCAGAATGAGTCCAGACAAGGATGCCCGTAGCTGCAATCCTTCACTGGAAAGTTCTCCAGTCCAGATAAGATACATGTTACCATTCCGTACAGCTTCATAAAGCTATATGAAGGAGACCTTAGGAAAGAAGCCCAATCTTGAGAAGCGATACAAAGCCTTGCGACCAGATCTGCAATGATACCAATGACAATCTACAAATAGGCACACCAAATGGCTTGCATCAAACACAAAGACTTGCAACTAGAAGGGGGCAGCTTCACAACGAGAGCGGTGTTCTCTCTGCAGAAAGCAGCTGCAAGATTCACGCATCTTTCTATCCTGACCCGCCAGTATTCACCGCAATATTGTGAAATCCTGCAGAACGTATTGAAAGTCCGCTTGCTTGCTAGCTAGAAACCAGTATGTTGGAATATGGATCATTCCAGACAATGTTCTGTAACAACCCTGTCAAGATGCACGTAATCACCACATCAACTCGAACCAAGAAGCGACGCGTGCAGTGTTGCTTTCTCTCCAGTGACGAAAATCTGTTTCTCTAGTCTGCTGGTGACACACCCACGACGAATCAAAAAAGCTTACTCCTTTGCCTCCAGTCCTCAGTATCCTCCGTGTTCTTCGGTTGCGCAAGGATCGCAGACACCACATCGTGCTGACACGCGCGCTGTTTCTTAAACCCACGGCGGCAGCTCTGCCGGTCTGCCAAGCGAGCATCTGACAGGGCCTCGAAGGAGGAAAGGCCGCTGGTGCTACAGGAAGGAGGGGGGGCAGCAACACTGAAGTGCAAAGATCTTGACCTTGCAGTATTAACAGGTTTCTGCACTGTATCCTGCACTGCCCAGAATCCCGTCGCTCCGGCCTTGAGGCCTGCGGAAAGTGCCATGTGCTCAAGTATCTCAGATCAAAGTAGTAACTCAGAACGAGCTAGCTCCCTATGTCAACTCTTTTCCTGCAACCCTCAGCGTACTTGCCCCAGCGCAAGCGTCCTTACCAGACTCAAATAACAGCTTGAGCAGCAGAAGGCGTCTTCCTTCAACCTGATGCAAACTACCTACGGTAATAGACCAGTCTCTACCGCCGCAAGCTCCCCTCGCAAACGTCCAAGCCCCTTCGCTGCTCTCCGAGGCTCTCTTGAAAGTGTGCTAGCTAGGGTTCTGCCAAGCCTGGCTGCTCGTCACCTTGTATCTCTGCGGATCAGCAATATGACACTAGATCCATTGGAATAGTATTTCATCAGCTCTAGGAGACAGGAAGTGTCAAGGTCAAGCTTGCACTGTGCCCTGGTGGTTCTGCGGCGTCAACGTGGGGGGCGACGTGGTCGATCCCTGAGCGTTCCTGCTCGCCACGTCGACATGCCTGAGCCGCTAGTCGAGATTTGGTTGTAGCCATTACCGCCTTGTCAGACATGGCCAATCTCATCACCTGATTTGTTAGAATCTCTCCCACGTGCTGCGAGCAGGACAACCTATAAGCTATAGCACAACCTCTAGTTCGTGGGCCTCGGCCCTCCTATAGTACGTTGAAAGGTGCCGGAGCGGACGGTCCTTGCCAGCCGCCGCTCAGGCGGCCGCCAGGCTCCGCTTCCCTGGGAGATATCGGACAGTACAGTACGTGAAGTGATTCATCATGCAGTGCCATTCCTGATCTTCAACTCAGCCTCGGAGCACCTGTAAGTTCGGTCAGGATGCATACGACCTACCGTTAAGCCGGGACTAAACCTTAATAGATTGGAGTCGTGAGATCGATGGCCCGCCTGTCTGAGAAGACTGATGCTGGTTGTTTTAGCAACCAGGCTTGTTTTCTTGCCTGGCTTGGATCTCGATATAGCATTCTAGAATGAGTCGCATCCAGCGTAATTGCTTTTGCGTCAGATCTCAGAGTGAGTTTGTCCATGTCTTATGGGGACAATGCACTTTGATGCTACATCGTTATATATATTGAGAAAATCAGTTGCATAACCCAAATTGGTACATATCCAAATGAAGAATAAAGCGAAGAATGAGCTCGAGCATGCTAAATGACAATCAACGGGTACATAGCAGCCGTTGCCTTGAACGATTGTCCTTGCTTCCGGCGAAATCCCACAGCATGCAAACCATCCTTGACTCACTGATGCCTTCAACTTACAGAAAACATGACAAAGCGGCATGCGAATTCAGTCATGAAAGGAACATCAAGGCCGCCCAGAATTATAGATATGCACCAGTGAGTCGTTTCAACTTCCAGGAATGATCCCACGAATCAGCAGAATGCATAAAGCAGATGTGCTTTGAGGAACCTATGCAGATTGAATGCTTGGAAGCAACTCCATAATCACGATTTACGCCTGACTGGATCTCGGCCACAAGTGTCGCAGTTGAGTCAGCTACTTACAATTATCTGTCGAGCCCGGCTTGAGAGAGCACGTGTCGGTTAATCTATGCTGGCATAGGATCGTACATGCAGCACAGTAACAGTGTGACCTTGTTTCATCCTATTCTCCCTTTGGCAAGATTGTCGCACAGGGTCAGTTTATTCACAAAAGCATTCCCCCCAGTACTGCTTCCGTGCTGCGTTCTTACGTGTCCTCTTAAGACACGTGACCGACTCGAACGCACCAAAAATTGCTTCGTTGGGGGGGTAGGGACTTATCTACACGCATCTTGACAGCTCTGCTTATCTCAAGCTGACCTATTCCCAGCAAGGCAAAACTTCTCCAAGGCGTTCTCGGGCTTCCGAGCCAGTCTGCAAATTCAGCAACAACAAACCTTTCAGCGCCAGCCAAGCAAGAAGTTGCCCAGACGGACTCCTAGAAAGCTTGAGTGCAATCGAAGCGAAGCTACCTTCGAGAAGGGGTCAAGTCTTCTGCTTGTCTCGCTAAGAAACGAACCAATGCTGCAAAAACTCAGCCGGGCTTTTCGAGATTATTCAGTTGAAAACCTCTTTGCCCGAGTCGGCTTTTCTGAGTCCGATAAAAACAACATCTGATTCGCCATGTCGATGCCCGGCGTCAAGGAAAATCCAACTGAGAGAAAAACAAATGGAGCGAAACGTACTGATAAAAGGCAATGGGCCACCAAATATCAGTCGGGAATAGAAGCAAGCGAAGATCGACGGAAGGAATCCGCATAAGCAAAAGAAGCAAAAAGATAATTCTACGAGCAAGAAGTAGGGCGGATTATAAAGCATCAATTTAAGGGCAAAGAAGATAAGGCCTCACCGCCTGGTCATTTCAGAGCAGCTGTCACCTTGGGGAGGCTTCTTTCCCGGCCCTTCTGCGCCTTTGCTATGCTCCTAAACCCTTCAAACCTGCAAACCTCAAACCTTCGCGGCCGCCGCCCTAATGCCTAACATCGCAACAAACCCCCTCACACTCACTCAGTACTCTCTCCCCGATCACATCAAAAGCTCCCCGTCCCCCAGCATCCTCTTTCCGTCCATGCTAGTTCCTTCTTCTGCCGCCCCCTCGACTTCCTTATCGACCTCAAACCCGTTCAGAACCGTTGAAGCTACCCCTCGGCTTGAATCCTCATCACGTAACCCGTCCATCCCAAACCAACTGCTTGTGGCGCATTACTTCGGTCCCTTAACACTCATACCGTCTCGATTGCCACGCCCCCCAAAACCGCCACTCTCATCTGCTGACGCACAGCATGACCGAAACCTTCCCGCAACCAAACGACCTCTGACAAGCCTCCCCCCGTGCCTCGTTACCCGTATCCCCAATCTCATTCGCGACCCCTACTTCCAAAGCTTCCCCTTTGGCTGCTTTGGTGCAAGCCCTAGGTCAAGGTCTAGCTCGTCATCCGCCGGTTCCTCTTCTCCCCGTCCCCCAGACTGGCCCAACGGCGCGGCAGCCTGCTGCTCAGTTGGCCCCTCTTCTCTCTCTAGGTCCGGTCCCCGAGGTACCCCCCCCCGGTGTTGGCCCGAGGGGAACGGCCCATACCCTTGCTGACCCGAAAGTTGCGCCATCTGCGCCAAGTTCGGATACACCCCCGGGACACGAAACTGGTTACCCCCCCCAACGGTGGAAAGAAGCGCCGCAGGCCAAGGCTGGTTCAAGGCTCCCCCAAGCTGCGGCGGAAACGGCATCCCCGTTCCGGGGGGCAAGCCCGGGTATTGAGTTCCGAGGGGGGGGCCAACGGGCTGCTGCTGCACCCCCCCGGGGCGAGAGCCGTGCGGCCCCAGAGAGTCCCCTGCCCCTCCCCCAAGCGGGCCAAACCACGGAACGGCACCCTGGTTGACGTTAACCAGGGGGTTAAACCCGGGCGCTTCGAGCCCTGGTGGTCGAGCCTGGGGCTGCCTCGGGGGATCCCCCCGGAGCGGATTGGGGGGCCCCCCGGGAGGCGCGATTGGCATCGACCGAGCGCCCATATTCGAAGCGCCTCCGAAAGACTGGGGCGCGGCAGTGTCGTCTCCGTTTCTCGCTTCGTCCCCCCGGCGTTGGTACGCCGCGACCATTTCGGGGGTGGTTTGCAACGCGGCCCCTGGGTTCATTCTCCCCGGGCTGGGATAACCCTCCGGGTTAAAGGGCGGGCTGAACTGCGGGTTAAGGCCCGCCTGCTGGTTGTAGTTGAAGAGTGCAACGGCGGCGGAGGCAGCAGCCACTGCTGCGGCCTCGGCGCTGCCCACCTGGTTAAAGTAACCCGGCGGGGGCTGACCCATAAACGGCCAGGGGGGCATGCCCGGCGGCCGCGCACCGGGCATCTGGAGGGGGTTAGGCTTCTGCAGATTTTCGAACGCCTGGTATGGGTTCCAAGGAGGCCGCGCAAACGGGTTGAACGGCATCGGTAATGGTAGCGGTATTTGCGGCTGGAGCGTTTCGGCGCCCGCCGGGAAGGGGAAGTTGGAGTCGGGTTGAGGGTAAGGGTTCGGGGCCGGGTTGGTGGCTAACCGCGGGCGGCGGTCGGCGGGGAAGTGTTGTTGGGCGGCCAGGGCAGACTGGCGCGACGCAAGGGTTTGGTGGCGCTTCGCCTGGATGCGCTCGCGCTTGTGCGCGTTCTGGTGACCGCCAAGAGCCTGACTGCTGGAGAAGCGCCGTTGGCAGAAAGTGCACTCGAAGTTACGTCCGCCGACTGTGAGAAGATAGGGAAGAATTCAGAGGCTTTTCTTGTTGTCAGGTCCGGACATTTCGCGTTCACAATCGCAAAACGTGTCTCCAGATTTGCGCAACACTTGAGAGAGAAAAGCGACATAACCTCATGAACGGAAATGATTACACCAGATCGACACTAAATTTTTTCACGATTATCAGGAATATGAGCAAGTCGACGAGCAAAGCAAATCATCGAGTCAACTTCGGCATGCGAATAGCTTGCATGTAACAAGACGCAAGATTTACGGCCTTTTCCCGGCAAGGAGAAACAGATAATTATGCATACAAATCCGCCGGGTTCAATTTGAGAGATTGAGCGAGCCGAGTATCAACCAATGCCAGCTCAAAGTGACTAGCCAGGTTTACTCAAGCAGCCCGTGTGGGCGGACTTGCGCGGAGAGACACTTAGACACAACATTCAGAAGCTTTTCAAAACGAAGCAATTTCAAAACCCGAGATCGTTCTCGCTGGAAAAGGGAGCAGACCAGCCGGCCCTCAGAAAGTCTCTTGAGTCAGAAAAAGGTACCGGTGAACGGGGGGAAAGAACGGAAGACGGTGTGACGAATATGGAAATGATACGACGACAGATTGAGCAAGAGCAAGAGCCAGGTAAAGAGAAGTAGACAAGTCGACAAGAGTAGACAAATATCGAGGAAAAAGGCTATAGAACTGATCAGGAACACCTTGAAAGCTGGAGAAGTGTGCATGCATGGACGGGCTACCTGATGGTGCTGATAATGTCAGTCCAATTCTCCAAGTCTTCAAAGTGCACTTCCGACTCGGCTAAAGACCTGCCCAAAATGTTCAGCCCGCTACTAGTACTGCTTCAGAATCCGCCTGGCAAGGAGCCGCGGCCTCTGCCAGGCGCGAATATACAAAGGAGCGAAACCAGGGAGAGATGACCTGAGTAGATACGTACCTGACGTCTCTTCGCTGTTTGTGCCTGATTGGAGGGGTTTCTCCCGCCCCGGCGCTCCTCCTTTTGAAGTCGACTCCCGCGACAGATCCGCACCTGCCAGATTGAAAGCACGAATCAGAACTGGTATTACATCTAAATACAGTTGCCACAGGGAAGCTCAAGAGGAAAAAGGTTTCAGGATTGTCTGAGCACTAAAAGTGATGCCCGAAATCGGTGCAGACAACCAGGACCTTCGACCATTCCACGCGCCAAGGGCGAAATAAATGCTTTGGTCTAAGCAGGCCAACCACTCTCTTTGACTGAGCCTCAGAACACGCTTGAAGCTGACCCAGAAGAACATCCAGAAAACTTATAACCAACCGTTGCCAAACCGCTTTCACTAAGCTCTTCGAAGCCTCAAAGAAACTTGCTGAGAAGGTCCTGTCTCGTCAAAGCGCTCACCTGATGAGCCACTGTGCTGCGACCGCGCCCCTTCGTCCCCCTCGCCATCCTCTTGCGGCTCCTCGGGCCTCTCTTCCAGGTTCAGGGGGATCCCTTGTCTGTCCCGTTTGTGCCCCTCAGCGGGTGGCAACCGCGCCCCCCATCGAGCCCCCCCTCCAGCCCCACCTCCTGAACCCCCTCCTTCATGCATCTCCACATCCGCCCCCTCTGGCCTGCCTCTTACTTGGCCCCCTTTCAGCAACTCTTCCTCTCTGTTCCTGCCCTGGCCCCCTTCTGGAAAGCCCTCATCTCTATTTCGTGCCCCTTCTTCCTGCACCCCGCCATCCCTGGTCCTCTCTCCCCCCCCTCCGTCCCTGCTTCGTCCTTGCCCCCCTCCCTGGAACCTCTCATCTCGACTCCGGTCGCGGGGGGGCTGGACCTCGTGGAACCGCCGGAGGCTTCCTAGGCTGACCTGCCCCGTCAGCAACCCCCCTGTCCGCCGCAATTTCTCGTCCTCACTCGGACCCCCCGCTGGTAACACCTGTGGCCGGAACCGCCCCTCGTGAGGCCGGCCCCCAATACCCCCGTCGCTTGGCTCCCCCCCCTGAGCGTTGGATGACGTTTCCGGTCCCTGCTCATTGTGGCCAAATCTCATCGAATGGACCGAGTGCGGTCCCCCCGGCAGGGGGAAGAAAATGTTGGAACGGGCCCCAGTCCGCTGTCTTCTGGGCCCCCCTTGATCGTTTGTGAGATCCGCTCTGTTGCTGTCCCGCCTTTGAAACCCGCCAAGACCAAACCTGTCACCTATTTTAGTCTGAAAGACGGGGCCGTTCAGGGGAGAACCTTTTGGCAGGGTGGGGATCTCACGGCACAGTCTGGAGGGTCCAGGGGTTGTCGATCGGTTGAGAGGTGGTAAACCCCCTCAATCTGCAGCGTTTTCAGTTTGGGAAAGCTTGCTATATCCTCTAGGAAGATCCTGCAGGGAGAGTTGCACGAAGTCAGCAAGCTGTGACTGATGACGAAGAACACTTCCTTAGCCAGGCTAGTGGCAGATGCAGATCTACAAACAAGGTCCTGTTTGTCACGACACAACTCCTTTCAGCACGCTATAAAATCATACTTGCAGCCCCTTGTATCCTTAAAATGTGTTATAAAACAATACAAGAGTTGAGTTGGATCTAGCTGCAAGATGCAGACTATGGCAGCTCTACACGTGAGGGACGCAGACTGAGACTTCGATGATATAAAACCAAATTGCATTCGCTTCTGGGAACGTACGAGCGTCACGAGATCCAGTGTTTTGGAGTTCTTCCAAACAAACGACTGCCCAAAAATGACACTCGGCGGAAACAAACATAAAAACAAAAGAAACTTTGCTGAGGGGCTCCAAATCGGACACGTTAAAGCTCTCAGCAAAGACCAGATCCAAGGTCTCAAAAGAGCTCGGTCTAAAGTCTTCAACAGGGGCTAAGTAGCAACCAGAACATCAAGAAGACAGCTCCAAGGAAAAACAGAAAGCAAAGGTGTAGCTGTTTAGAACAAGAAAAACACAGGAGTAACCCAGGAAAGGGCTCAGTGCTGATGTCACAAGTTGAGACATGTCCATGCAAAAGTCAAACTTGACAACCTCCGGTCTTATAACAACGATCTATCTGCTGATTCGACCGACTGCTTTGGAGACTTACATGAGATGGGAAAAGGCTTTATGAGGAACAATACAACAAGCTGCTATGTTCAAAGACACGCTCCAAGCCGACAGAACGCAAATACAGAGCTACTTTACAGGTGTCAGGATGGTTGACCACAAGTAACACCAATCTGAGAAGCGTCTGGGAAAACATCCTGACAAAGCAGAGGGGGCAAGTTGAAACAATAGCCTTGCAGATGCCTTGACCAGGGCAACTAGAGGCAGACTCTGTGCAGCCAAAGCGAGAAGCTAAGATGCGAAGATGACCCAAGAATGACAAACACACATGACCCCCTTGCAAAGCTTTCAGCCATGAAAGAGGACATTTTCCCAAAGAGGTCAATCTGAAGTGAAGTTTGGCAACATTCTGTGAATCAGCTCAAAAACGCCCCAGCAACCTGCCAATGTGCAAGGAAGAACCAGCTGCTCATCTCGTGCATAGTGGTTCAGGGATAGCGCCAAGGCCTACTAGAAAAAGAAAATATGGAGCCATCTTCTGAACAACTTGAACCTGGCTAATCTGAATTTGACCACTTGGACGGCACCGGTCCCAAATTACCAACAAAATAACCAGAGCAAGGAAGCTGAGTGGAGACGCACTGTTTCTAGAGCCCCAGCAATACCACCAGCCCCAAAAGCATGCTCTGTGTCAAGACCAGACAACTTAGAACCAGCACATGATGCCACCATTAGGATGAACGACTGACGGTATGAAGCCGCCTCCAATTCAAGCGTGTCAGACTCATTCTGGGGTCATTGAATGGTCAGCTCGGCATGTTCCGTCTCAAGCTCTGTGACGGGAGCACTGAAGGCCTTCTTGTTGGACGAGCTAGATCCTGCCAAGCTCAAAGGAAAGGATAACACAACGGGCCTCACAAGCGCTGTCAACTCCTGAATTCGTACCATCTATCAACTTTCAGATTATGGTGCACATGTGCCAGTCTGTTTTCAAGTCCAATTGTGCAAGCATCCCAAACAGCGTCTACTGACTTCTCATTGAAAAGACGCTTCAGGCGAGGCACTGCCGCTCAATTCCCCTGCCTTTATCCCACCTTCGAATGACAGTCATAAGGTCTGTCGTTAAAGACAGGCATGCAGATCCCAGGGGCCAAAGGGAAGGGGGTGAATTAGCTTCACAAGAGCACCCCCCAACAACCTTCTTCAGCTTCTGCAGAGGATACATACGATAGTCATAGCTCACAAGCATCCTCTGATATTTGGGAACAAAACTCCCCCTGAATGCAAGCCTAGGCAGACAAGCCTAGGCTCTTCACCAGCTCTTCCGCTCCTGCTCAGGAACAGTCCTGGCTGCAGCATGATACTAGTTTACTTTGCCTCATTGTATCATACGAGGCTAAGGAATCAAAGAGCAATGTCAAAAGGGACTGAAAATAGGGTCAACTGACCTTCAGCAAGCCAGACCCAACAGGAAATTGAACAGGAGTGTCTGTATCAAAGACCTAGGAGAGGAAATGCAGAGGCACCCCCTGCTGAAGCAACTCAGCTGACAGAGGGACTCCACTCAGAATAGAGTCATCGATGCGTTTGAACAGAAGCCGCCTGCCGCACTTTCCGAATCAAAAGAGCCAGATCCTTACCTTGCTGAAGTCCCCTAAACGATTTGCCCTGCTTGCAGGTTCAGCTGACACCCTGTCATTTGCAATACAGCCGTGCTCCTTCCCTCTGGTTCAGCCCCCCAGTCCCCAACGCCTCCAGGTAACCAGCAACATCCTCTACACAACATCCTGTCATCCAAGACCAAGCTCCTGCAAAGAATCCCTTGCTTCCCTCTTGCCTTTCAATCTAGGAAGCCAGCATCTAAGACTTCTATTGCACAAGCGAACTGAACCTTGCTTTCAGTTTCAGAGACAACACATGCTGCTGGAAAATTGCTCTCCAGTTTCCATGCCAGGGGGTTCGTTCCTTCCAAATCCACGAAGCATCTGATGACAAGTGCCTTTTACCTGATGTGGCCCCTGCACCCAAACGTTTGCCCTTGTTGCTACCTATTGCATGACCGCATCAATGTCATCAATGTCTGTTCCTGAGGAGCTGGTTGAGAGCCCCCAAATCTTGCTGACTCACGAAGCTTTCAAAGCGGGTTCCAAAATCAGACAGTTACTTGTCAAAGCCACTTTGAACAAACCCCCCATGGTCTCAGAAAAAGAAACTGTCTGCAGCCTGCAGAAAAGTGGCCCGCACCGTTCACTTCTGATTCCACGTGCTGGCGAGGGGGAGAGCAACAAAATCCTCTGCCACAAACGGCTGAACTTTTGTCCTTTTTGTTGTACTTTCAGTTCTCTTTTCTGGTTGCTTCAGAGGATCTTCTAGCCACGTCACTTGTCAAATTGGTGCATCTTGCGAGACGCGTTCTGTGCCTCCAGTTTGTTTTGAAAAGTGGAGCACTCAAGGACCTCCAGCTCAGATTCGCAGATTCTCGGACCTCTCAGCAACGTGGAAAAGCAATCTTCAGGTCCGTGGAAGTCGGAAGGGACTGTTCGAGGATCAGAACGCAATCTGGATGTAGGGCGCACAGCGGCCGGCGATAACATCCTGGATTGACGCGGCAGTTCCAGGCTTCGAACTGCTTCTCAGCTTGAAGAAACTTGAAGCTCAGAACTGCCGGACGGGGAACACAGAGCTCGCGAGCTGCTCGCAAGCGTCCGGCAGCCGTCCGGTCGTCCGAATTCTGGCTGGTATCTGTGCTTGGACGGTGCGTACCAACAGGGTGTCGAGCCCAACCGGTAGGATGCGCCTTGCAAGGCTGATAGGGTTCTTACATTTGACTTTTTGCGATCGAAAAACGGCCCGAGACCCATCAGCCGGAGGTTCGGCTGATCTCAGCCTGTAAAAAATCTTGATCGGGCTGCCCAGAACCCAATCCCCCTCGGGTCGGGCCGTAAACTGCCCGAGCCTACGGGAAGTTTGATCGATTTGCACGCCGGCGGCCTGGTTAGCGCACTGCCTACTTACTCCAAAGCTAGTTGTGCGACAGATCTACTGTAGGTGCACCCATCCACCATGGAGGGCGCTGGCCTGGCTGGTGATGCTGCCATACCCATGGCTGCCGATCCCGCAACTCCCATCGTAGACGTTGGTGCAACCACCATTGCAGAGAGCAGCAATGCTGTGGCTGCAAAGGGCAGCCAAGTTGCTGATGACAAAGTTATGGAGGGGGCAGCGCCCAGACGTGTTGAGATCTCAGAGGAGCAAAGAGAGAAAATTGTCTCACTTGCAAAGGAAGCTGAAGAGAAAGGTCTGGCAGGAAGTTCGGATCTGTGGCCTTATGTCCAAACCATGTTGCTCATTGAGATTTGGGGGCAGATTTTCGTTGCCCACAACCATGTAAACCTGAAGGCCCGCCACTGGAAAGCAGTGTTGGAGGAGTTGAACAAGCAAGTGCAGCTGAGCATCCCTGGTGCCAAGATCTACAGTTTGCAGCAAGCGCAAGACAGGATCGAGCTGCTCAAGAGAAACCACAAGAAGGAGGCGGAGAAGAAGACGGCGACGGGCGGCGTTGCATCCAAATGGGCTTTCTTCCACGCGATGAATGACATCTTGGGAACGAGCAGCAAAGTGACCGGGGTTCCTGGTGCTTTCACGGGTCAGAGGGCTGTTCCAGTGGAGGCGGCAAAAGGCAGCCTCACTGGGGAGGCACAAGGCAAAGAAGGCACCATCGATCTCGAGTCCAGCGCAAAGCAGACCATAGATCTGGAGGTTGAGACCCAAGATCTGCAAGGAACCAACGCAAAACCGCCAGCGAAGCGCCGACGCAGTGAGGACCAGCCTGCGCAGGTAGCCGAAGAAGGTGGCACTCCTGGAGCAGATCTGCCAGCGAGCGCGAAAAGAGCTGCCAGTTTGAGCACCGGCAAGAAGAGCAAGGAGACTGAGATGGGGGGCGACGTGCAGGAGGGGGAAAGTGCAGGCCCTGTGAAAAAGGAGCGAGGAGGGGATGAGGACAAGCAGTCCCGCAAAGTTTCAAAGAGCGGCGTCAAGGGCCAGTTCACAAGGGCGTCCGGCAACCGAGCGGGGGCAAGCCCCGGCACTGCTGCAGCGAAGGCTTTGATGGGGGGGCTGAAGGAGTGTGTTGGCATGCTGGACTGGACGACATGAAAGCAGACAGGGATCAGCGCAGCCAGTTGGAGAACAGGAGGTTGGATCTCCTTTTTGCGCGCATCGCTGCGCAGAATCCAAACCAAGGTCCTGGCCAGGGTGGTACACAGGAGGGTGGTGCACAGGGACCCGGTGGTGCATAGCAACAGGTACGTCACTGTAGGAACTTACATGTTTTCAACATTGACGCGATGATCAATATGTTCAGGATCAAATGTTGCAGCTTGTTGTTGAGTTTTCAAACCGTTGAGAGTGGGGCAGTATCTTGAAAACAAAGACAAACTAGATTCAATGTTTCAGGTTGTCCACATCAGATCTATCTCTTTGACTTGAAGTAACTTTAGTCCGCAGTATTGAGGCAAGTTGATGGGTTGATAAACTTCTTGTGGAATTTGGAGGATGTTTCGAAAGAAACATCCAGGTTTGGTTGTTGTTGTCAATCAGATCTGGGTATCAGATCTGGCGTCGCTTCCAGTCTTCAAAGAGTGCATCGCGGATGCTCTTTGCTTCTGCGTTGCTTGCTGTTTCTGTCACTTCGATTGCTGTGGGTGCGGTGGAGTTTTCTAAATGCTCTCCGGTAGGGACAAGCGGTTCTCCTCTCAAGATGCAGTAGTTGTGGAGGACACAACAGGCTATGATGGTTTGCACTGCGTAGTCCAACCCAACGTTTAGGTTTCTCAAGATCTGCCACCTGCCCTTCAATTGTCCAAACGTGTTCTCGATTTTGACTCTTCCCTTCCTAATGTCTCGATCGAAGTCGTTCTGCTGGGGCGAACCATTGCGGTTTGCTGTGAAGGGTTTAAGTAACCAGCGGAGCATTGGGTAGGCCGAGTCACCGACGATGTAAGGTGTGAATGTTCTGTTGCCCAGAACAACATGCGGCGCTTGCAAAGCTCCTCGCCTTTTCATGATTTTGTACAGGTCACTGCTGCGGAGATGGGCTGCGTCGTGGACTCCGCCAGGCGCAATGCAGCAGACGTCCCAGAAGAGGTTGTCCACAGTGCACACACCTTGGAGGAGCAGTGAGTAGATGTCATGCCGACACCAGTAGTCAGCAGGAGTATAGCGGGCAGGGGGTTTGGAAGCTAACTTAATATGACTTCCATCTATAGCACCAACCATATTGTCGAATCCAGTCTCTTGTTTAAACCCCTGAATTATTGCTAGGAGACGAGGGCCCTCTGGGATCTGAATGAACTGAGGACGTAGATTATGCTCTAGGACTTGTGTGATGGTCTTGAAGTATTGGATCACTGTGGCTTCTCCAACCCCAAACTTCTCACCAACTTCTCTAGGGGAATCCCCGTGTGCAAGGCGGTAGAGCGTGAATGCCACAGCTCTTTCTGGATCGACTGGTTTTCTGAATCGCGAGCGCTCCTTTTGAATGAATGGCGACAAGTCCTCAACAAGCTGCTGGAACACGGGGTAGGACATCCTGTACGTCCTACGCCACAGCCTGTCTCTCGTTTCAGGATCCTGTTGCAGCCACACCTGTTTGTGGAGAACTTCCCACGTGGTCTGCTGACGGGGAAATACCCAGTAGCTTCGAGCTGCCCTCCTGTTTGCTCGTGCAAGGATCTGAAAGCTCGCTACAGCGGCTGTCATAAGAACGAAGATCAGGAGAATGGTTTCTCCGGAGGACGAGGTGTCGGCATGAAACAAGTCAAGAATCTCGTCCATGATTGGATCCGCGTCCATCTTGCTTGTTCTTTTGTCGGCTTGAAGTGAGCTTAGAAATGAGGGTTGGTCTATCTTTGTGTTGTTGGAAGTCCGTGTCTTCTGCAATGTTGAAAACGGGCTGTACTCAAATGGATATCCAACCAGGTCCGTTTGCTTTCATGGAAGGTTCTGGACACTGGTTCTTGGCCTTTCGAATAGAATCTTTTGAATGGTTCTTCGAAGTTCCACGTCTTTCATCACGAAGCTGCCACGTGTCACTCTATGATTTTCTTGACCTCGGCTTACTATTGGGGTGCGTCTCTAGTCAAGCCCTTCATCTATGAGGCGGCACGATGTGGAAATAACATTAACGAGCTCATGATCGAAATCTCTTATCATACTTAAGTGAACAATCCGACTCTTGCCTTCCTTGCTTGCAAAATCGGCCGTGCCTTCATGCATGTGTGGAATCAACTGGGATAGGTACGTACGCACGCTTTTTGATTTCATTCGAGGTGTATCATGCCTAATGTATGATTGAACATTTACACAACGGGTTCATTGAGACTTGAAAACAGCAATTGGAGCTCGAGATTTAGATAGTATCTTGAATTGTTAAAGATCATTGAGCATGGGGCATGGTACGAATGTAGGCACACAGCCCTAAATGGTTCAATAGTGTATACGAGCCACTGTTGTATACTAGACTACAGAATATACTAGAAGGTTATTGCTTGGCAGATCGATACGCTCTGCGTAATTGTCAAGGGGTTGTCAATTCGACAAGCTGCTTAGATACATGGCAGCCCTTAGTACTATTCTCTCAATCTCGGTTCGGTGCATGGCCCCTACAATACTAATATGAGCCAACACGTAGTGCTGGTGCAAGACTATAATGATTCTATAAAGATACGAGCAAAACATGCGGCTAAAGTATTAGGCCAACATCCTAATCCTTCACATCGCGAGAATTGCTGAAGGACATGGGTGACGACGCACATGAAACTTGCAGAAAAAGTGCATGAATTACATCTGGCATCATTAGCGTGAAGTGGCAATATTCAGCTAAAGTCGACAGGCAGCAAGCAACTGCCTACTCCAGTGGGCCCGGCGGCCGGGCGCAACTAGCTCGGCCGCGTGCGGTTCTGCGCGCAAAAAGTCGCGAGGTTTAAAGTCCCGACGAGGTTTCGGAATCTTTAGACTTCCTCCCACCGTTTCCGCGACTTCGGGTACCCACTGCAAAACCGCAGTGTAAGCGATACGGTATTTGCCCGAGCCCGATCGGGGTCGGGCCGGCCCGACCCGAGACCGAAGTAAGTCAAATGTAAGAACCCTAT